GAGTTGGTCCTGAGGGCAGATTCAACGCGTGCGTGGTCGGGCTGGACTCGCGCGGTCGGGCGAGGCACGGGAACTGCACGTATCTGGGAGGAGAGGGAGACTGTGGGATTCGCTCGGGGTCTTGTGATTGTGTCTGCCGTCACGGGGAATGCGATGAAATGGCGAGGAGGGGGTGCAAGGGCCTCCTTCGCTCGAGGAGGGATGTCGGGCTTGGATTCGCTTTTGTCTCCTGTTGGCATTGCGAGGGGGAGTGTCCTGGTCATCTCGGCTCGAGACGCTTGTGTCCCGGGATGTGCACCGCGCATTACAACGAAAGTGGAGACCTTCGCGGTCGGGCCTGCGTCGAACGGAAGTACGTGTCCGGCCTCCATCCGTTGCCAATATCGGGGAAGAGGTGTATTTGGCAGACTCGGTCCCTCGACAGGAAAAGATACACCGGCTGCTTTTGCGACTGTGTTGAGGACGGGTGCAACGACGAACTCGTTGACGCAGCGAGGCAGGTCCGCGTTTTTTGTAACCGGAGTCAGGGGCAGGAAGACCTCATCCGGCAAGCGAGGGCGAAATGCTTCCTGTGCAAAAATCAGGAATGTCGTATAAAAATATGCGACGAAAATCATCTTTGTTCCGCGGTCATGAATGAAAATGGCCGGATTGGGTTCCGATATTGCGTGGATCGCAGATTGACGTACAACTATATTCCACTTGGAAGTCACCAGTGCATTCGAAATTTGAATCGCAGCGTTAGAGTTGGTAGACATTCCTCCGATATTGCTGGTTGCTTCTGCGACTGCGCCGGAGACACGTGCAACTCCTGGAGCGAATCGACGATGTCAGAAATGTGCAAGACGGCCTCCAACAGCCTCCAGGAATGCCACATCTGCGACGGCCCAGAGTCATGCGAGCGGGAGCCGCGTCGGCTGCATCCTTGCGAGCCGCATACTGTCTGCACGGCCTTGTACCGCGGGGGAAGGGCGCAGAGACGGGGGTGCGTGAGGAGGGAGTACGTCGGGAGGGAGTTCCGCGCCGCGGAGGATGTCGTGTGTCAGTCGGGTCTCCATCGGAGGTTCTCTATCGGTGTGGGCCTCGACTACGACGAGGACCTGTTCGGGTGCTACTGCGACTGTCTGCAGCGGGGATGCAACAATTGGACGGATGCGTCGTTGGGTGAAATGTGCGATCTGGGTGAGAGCGATTTTTTTTCGCTTTCGTGGCTTGAATCATGGTTTTTTCTGTGCGCCTTGCTGAAGAGCTGGGTTATGGTTCATTCTTGACGTAGGAAACCTAAGTGCATAATGCATTTTGAGTTATACCATGCATAGTATAAACAAATGTACCGTATAATATAGATCCCTTTCAACGTGGAATCCTCACTGAGGGAAATTCGAGATAATATGTAAAGTAACTTTTTTTCTCGTATCACTATGAACAAACGAGAACGACATGCGATGTTTCCGAAAAAAAAGAGGAAACTTTGGGTCTTCGTCTCCTGGTTTTTTCATGGTATATTGTGCTAATAGTGTCCGATTTCCCGTGGTGGGTGAACCTGTTGGTGGAATGGTTCACCTTCGCTGCTGCACTTATGGTGGCCTCATCGGCTTGTTTCGTTCGCCTTCTCCGTGAGTTCGCCACGTTATTCAACCGCCATCGTGGAGTATATTAGCGTGTGTGCTGGAAGCAATGCGTCGTGATGAGTTGGCATTTGATACTTCCTTTCGGACAGAAGCACCCCAACTGGTGCTGAGGTGCCAGTCCCGCCACCATGGCATTTATTAAAAATAATATTTTTTTTGGCATATCTCCATGATAACTTCGGATACAGATGATATTCCAAATAATTGGTCGCCGGTGCTCTCGTATAATCGAACTAATTATCTTACAATCGATTGCATCAATAAATCAGAGTTGTTGCATTCTACTTTTTTCAGTTTCAGAATCAGTTTGATTACACTAAAAACGACGCTGGCCGATGCGAGTTCCGTAAAGACTGGCATGTTGTTTTTTTCTCAGTTCAATAAGCCCTTCCCTATCATTTTCTCTCTATATGACATGTTAAGTACAGATAATACAATTGCAAGAGTGGAAGTAAATTGATTGTTCGAATTTAGTCTAAATAGAAATTATCCGTTGAAAATATGTTCAATCCCCGGGCGGTAGAGAAATATTGCAACAGACTGCCACAGACTGTGTTTTCATGATAGCGCTTAGTCATTGATTATTCGATGGCCCAGCCAGACTGGGGAAGTTCTGAGAACTATGTCGGGCAATCCAAGAAATGGGCGAAGGACATAATAGTTCTAAAGTAGGAAAAAATTATATTATTTACTTGTATGTCATGATAAGTGCAGATGCGAACGTCAATGACCCTGTGGGCGATCACATGGTGCCTTTAGGACGAATCGAAACTAAATGCTTAGCATTGTTATCTAATACTAGTAGGTCATTATAAACTATTAATGGATATGAAACACGTATTTTGATTGGAATCGACTCATCCTATTGGAATTGGCTGAGTTTCCTTTTTTTTTATTCAATGGCTTCAGTCGGGACTTCAAAGAAGGAAGCTGAGGTGGAGGCAGGTACGGACCTCATGCTGCTGAACGACTCAAACGCCGAAACGGTTTGTGACGGGAAAGCATCGAGCGAATCGGGGAAGCACAGTATCCAACGGTGCTTCATGCATTACTCTTCATGCATGACTCGGTGCTTACTCTGTGGCAGGCGGGGAGGAGGAGATTGGGGGAGAGAGGGCGGGAGGGGAAAGTCGACACGTACAGGACCGTCCCCGACACGGCGATTCGATACGCGAAGTTGCCCTCTTCCAAGGAGATAGGCGATTGATATGCTGCTGCCTGGGCGATCCGTTGCGTTTTGCATGCACCAGGTCTTCCGTTTTACTTCATGCCAACTCCCAAGGAATGGACCTTGAAAAGCGTCACGATTAATTTGTGAACACTTCAATCGACTTTCCACAGGGTGATCTGGGGAAAACCGGTGTTGGCTCGTTAAACCTCAGAGTCACACGTGCCAAATGCGATTATTGGTGGACGCCGATAAAAATGTCGGCAACGCCAGCATCGATGAATGTGTTGAAGAGACTTCCTGAGCTTAATATTTTAATATTAAGTGACTCATGGTAATAGGGAGGTGATAAGGATACCAAGATCTTCACTTTGAGAAATACATCGAAGAAGGACATTGTGTTTAGTATCATCTGTGATGCTGCTCAACTACCTTCCCGTATAATCAAGCGGACTGGGATAAGAGTTCGTTCAGAATAATGATGAGTGGAAGAATATAATTTTTTAATGCACGCCGTGTCCCTAATACCTTTTTAGTGTTGCATTACAGAGACCATCACCCAAGAACTTTCATTTTGAACATTTATTTTCACGTTAATACCTTTTCAAATTAAATTATAACGTAATGAATGGAACTAACTATTGAAACTTCTATGTGAAACGTGCTTATAAAATCATTCTGTATTTCAATGAAGCGTCCTTGATATGACCTGTCATCGTCCTTCAGATCTGAATATGCAACAGGCCCAGAGGCAAGAAGAATCCTTGAATCTCCTGCAACCGGGCCTTCCCTGGCCCGGTTGCCGGCCCGGGCAAGATCCTTCCCATTGCGCTCGGAGACTCGCGATCAGGATGCCGGATGGGCAAATTCTCATTAATTCGTTCTTCCCGTCAAATGAAATCTGTTTTCATTTAACATTTTCAAATTCATTTCTGGATGAGATTTTTTTTCAATCATCTCGAGAATTCTCCCCCAACCAGAACCGATAATCGTCGCATTCCACATCGGAACGGTTACTATTAGGGAAAATTACACCCAAACCCAGATATATCTAACATTGAAACTTGTTTCGGTCATGTAATCCTATGTTTGCATTGAGAAATGAATATGTATAAGTTAGTATCTTACCGTGAAAGGGAGTGAGATCGCACAGCCCTGTGACGGAACCCAGTGTTTTGACATTCAAGAGGATCTATCACAGTTGCTCTAACGATGACGAATCCGTTGATACATTCTCCCTATCGCTTTCCATCCGCAACACGCACGAAATCCCGCCTAAGAATTCGCCAGTGGTAATTTTTATTATTAACTATTGTGAGATTTCATTGCCCAGCGTCATACGATGAATCATGCCGCAGTATTTGGCTTGGCACGCATTGCAAGTAGTGATTCGTTGAGTCGTGGGCCTCTATCTCGAAGGGGAAGTGAGTATATTTCAATGTATTCATCAATTCATCAAGAAACATGAATGAATGTTTTATGCATAATGTGTTCAAGTTTAGGTTGTAATAATCTCTGCTGAGACAGGCATTTATGCTATTTTTACCTGTCTAAAATACACTCCTCCACGAAATTAGGCCAACGACATTGCTCCAGTAATGTGCCTTAGAACTTAACGACGTCGGCCTCGTGCATTTATAAGTGAAGGAAAGTTTCTCACCAGAAAGTGAACGACCATGAAAGACAGCGAGTGACCATGCTTGAATTCTTGTTAATTATTAGGACAGCAAACGACCCTCATCTTTACCATCCTACCAACGATTCAACCATCGTTGCATTGTGTCAGACTTATCACGAGTCCCTTCGGTGTAAGGGCTAAGGAAACATTGGAGCCATATCGCGTGCAGATGGACAGGCTCTGGAGATCGATTCCTAATAGTTGATTGCATGATATGAATAGGGGACACCAATAATCCTATCCGACAAATTCAAAGGATTTTCCAATGTGACTGGCAGTGCAAGTTTCCCTCAGCATGTCATCTCATCATTCCTGTGGGTGACTTGAACTTTCGTTGAATTTCTAGTTTTTTTTAAATCCTAAGTGTAGCAACGCATCCATAGAATTAGTGTGCTTCCCCTCCCAAGAACCCATTCTAGAGTGCACAATTGCATACGATAGTCAACATAAAGAGGAAATGTCTTAGTGAGTGTCGTGAATTAAATTCCTCAACACGTCATCACATGCTGTCCAGTAGTTGCCAATGACAATTGTGCTTTAGAATTTGACCTCGGCTATCATCTAACGGAGCTACGGAAGCCAACGATGAAGCTGACGACAGTTTAATTATTGGAAAGTGTGCCTTTTTTCAAGAATTTTTCAGGACTTCAAAAAGCTAAAAGCAGATATTGTGCTTTTCACCATTCGCTTCGAGAAGAGACTTGTGACAACCAAAGCTAACATGGTTGAAAAAGTGCAATTGCGCCCAGTGGAGAAACATGAACTGAAGGACCTCAACGATCTCCTTGAGCCCTACTTGCCGGAAAATGTTGCTGTAAGTATTCCTGCTGGAAACATCTTAGGTATTCAACTGACTTTGATCAACAATGATTGATTCCGAAGTAATAGTTCATACAGAGTTTGGATTCAGTATCTGCCGACAGTGGAATGCTTACATATATCCAAATTTCATTTACTGAGTACTACTTGCACAAACATTTGTTTGTATCATTGTTTCTTTATGGGATAATTCAATAGGTGCTTGCTCGCTTATTGAATCTAAAATATGCTTCAAGTAGGTGGTTGAATGTTGCAGATGGGTTTTAACGTTGTCGATGAGATTCATGACTTCATCATTCAACACTGAAATGGTAAATAGTTAACCAACATCGAAACAAGTATATCCTCACAAGAGTTGTGCTAGTAATGAAGATGCGGTCGTTCCTGGTTATGATTATCCCTTCAAACTCCTCTCCCATTACTATTCATCATTTGGGCCTTACGATCATACAAGATCCTATGAGATTTTTTAAATCTAAAAACTTTATATGATTCACATTGGATTCCTATATATTTCTTATAAGATCCTGCCGGAATCCTATGTGAATCCTATTGGAATCTTGTTGGAATCCTATAATATTTTTATGCTTCAAAAATCGTATAGGATCTTATAGGATTTTCCGTAAAGGTTACACACGATTTTCATGAACTTCTTCAAAAAAGTCGCAGATGAAGCAAGAAATATCAATAAGGAGAGTCTTCACGAATTCATTCGGAATTTCCCTTGATTCACGAAGGGGAGCTTAAGAGGCAGAGACTTAAATTATTAGAAAGAAGACCTTTGACTTAGAGTAGCTGTATCTATAAACTCATGATCTATAATAATTACCAAATGTTGTTGGAAAATAGATTGTCTTCCCTTTCTCGCAACTGATTGCGTTTTCCGAAAGCCATTTCATAATAAAAGCGAAAACCCAACCAATATTTCCCAAAAAACGTTTGAAGTTTAAAAAGACGAATTTATATGGAAGAGGAGTCCGACGTGTTCTTGATGAATGATAACGAGAGCTCTGCCGAAAGACCTGCGTGCGATATTTTGCAGTACTAAATTGAAAATCCGTAGAACGAGTTCTCAGAATGTAATTTTATGTGTGATGTATTTCTCCTTATAATAGGTATACAACGTAATAAGTATGATGCACGCAGGCCTACTGCCATCCACCAAGGCATTTCTTCCAGTTCCTCCAAGTAAGCCCCATGTTGTCATCCTGTCATATGTGAGTTTAACTCAACGCATTTCCTTACTCCATGCTATACTATGATATTCTACACACATCAAATTAACATATTCCGGTGCCCATCTTGTGAAGCTGGAATGGCAGCAAAGCCAGCCAATTCAAGACCACACATACCTATTTTGCTGCTTGGAATCGGACTTTGAACTGCTGGAGGACTGCCTCAGGACTTTGGATTGGAATAAGCGCATAATTTTCGGTGCTGTCCCGCGCTCACTCTGGGATACCATTGCTAAAATTTCTCAGGAAAAGGGTGCTTCCTATGAGCTGGAATCTCATGTGGAAAAACTGGAGTACGTCTGGGAGAGAGGCCTGGCTTTGAAATGGGATGGGAGGTTAGTTTCGTATTCTGTCTTACTGGTACCATACACGGAATGGGGTTGGCAATACAGGGTGCGCAAAATGTTCTTGTCGCGATATTTTTTGGCTATAACTTTGCCGCATTTCAAACGCAGGAAAGGATCCCTCAACGTAACCCCACTGGTCTCGATTCTGAACGGGATCCGAGCGGAGTGGAAGCCTCTCGTTATAATCCCTACTCCATGCTTCAATAGTGCTGATTTAATGGGCATCGTCTGAAATTAAGGTGACTACCGAATGGGCTTTGTGTTTATATCTGGTGGACGTTTTTTAGTTATCAATCCATCCAGTAGCCAAGGCAATGCGAATGTAAGACCATTTATGAGACTGTTTTCCCAGAAATTATTTTCAAAACTCATTAGGGAAAACTTCAAATCGATGTCGGCTATACCCGTAAATATACAACGAAATTGACACTGAAAAGTCTGGTCTGACACGTCACTTTAGGTCAGAATTTGTTCAAATATTTCTGCCGATCCAAGGCAGACATGTGGACAGGTAGTTTCACGCTTGTATTGTATTTCATAACACTTATAAGCATTTAGCAAACGTTATTGCTGTCCGCTTTTAGAAATGTGGAAGTTAGAAATATGGAAGTTCGTTACCTTTAGTATCCACATTCAGATTTTTCATTCGTAATTTTGCCATGGATTTGGTGCCCAAGGAAATAATATAATTACCCAAATACCACACCCGTCATCTACATGTGGAATGCCTACATGGAGATGATACCTTCAAGTACTCGTACGAATAACCCATAACCATGGTTATTCCAGTAGGCCAAAAACCTGCCATCCACCATAACCTCATCGAATATCCATTCATGATAGCATATATAATGTATATATAGCTTGTGTGATGAGACACGATGTAAAGACGCGTAAAACTCCAATCCTCCCTGTTCAGCTACTACCAGTGGTTCGTTTTTTTCCGGCAGGATTCCTGATGATATGGAGATCAAACCATTAAGCATTGAGCATGCGGAGATCATAAACGACAGGTGGAAGTACAAAGGTCCCAACACTTTGACCAGAATTAAGGATATTGCGAAATCCGCATGTGGGTTTGGAATCTTCAACAAGACTTCTGGAGATCGATTCCTAATAGTTGATTGCATGATATGAATAGGGGACACCAATAATCCTATCCGACAAATTCAAAGGATTTTCCAATGTGACTGGCAGTGCAAGTTTCCCTCAGCATGTCATCTCATCCATCATTAGAAAACGAATATATATATATATATATATATATATATATATATAACTCCAGTACCAAAAATTTGGTTGTATCCAAGAATTCCACAAAAGTTATTCATCCCTAGCTAAAGCAAAAACTTCTTGTATGCAAAGCTGGTCCCCTAGGGCGTAAATTTGTTCAGTAAAAAATTATCAGGCTATGAAATCAATATGGCATAATCTTAAATTAAAAAAATTGACAATGGAAGAAATGCTTCAGTTTCACACGCGCTTCTTTGAGGTGCATTATTTTCATACATGAGTTTTGAACATAATGAAACGTATAAAATCCCATTATTTTTTACTATGAATGAATACTATGACCGCCATTATCGTAGTTTTCTATAATATTTCCTTTGCTGGTAGTATCAAATCTGCATCTTTTCCCGTGTCTTTTATTAGGGTTAAGAATCTTGCGGCTCATCAAGTCATTCTAATTACATTATTACATATTGATTCTCGAACTACTCACCTGAAATCATACTTCCGCTTTGCCCATTTCCTTGCCTTCTCAATCGATAATTACTTGATGATAAATAACAATGGAGAATTAATCTATGATACCTATATTAGATATTAGTTTGAAGCTCTTTGAATTCAAGTATGTTATTGTTAACTCGACTTCGCTGAGAAGTTGCAATTATCGTGTTTACGATAAGGTGACATGTCTTGTTTTCCTAAACGACGCATCTCGCGGTTTATTGTAAATTGTGTAATTCATTTCAGATGAATTGGTGGGGTGGTATGTGATGCATTCACACGGCAGCCAAGGGATCCTCCACGTGACGGAGCGCCACCGGGGACGGGGGCTGGCCTCGCTGCTCGTCCGCTGGGTCTCCCGCCGCGTGGCGTCCGCGTGGGGTATGCTTCCCTATGCGATCATCGACGAGAACAATCCGGCTTCGTACACGCTTTTTTCGAAAATCGGCTTTCGCCGGCTTGGGTCTTGCCAGTGGATCGTCTGCACGCCTGCGGCTGAGTCCACATCATGACGCACCAGATCCGTCGAATCATCAATTGCAGTATATTATCCAAAACAACATGGCTTCATATTATATGCTTCCTATTCGTATTTTCCAGGCGTGTTGGAAAGCAAGTGTGAATAAAACGAGTAGCAGATTATGCACTTTAATACTGGCGGAAAGTCCACCCTTTCAATGAAAATAGGTCATAACCAAACATACACACCAAATTAAGGCAGCATATATGCGTTCTTCACTTGGAATCGGTCTTCATTTGATCTTGATGATTCTAAATATCACAACCGCATAAAGCATACTTTTATCGAAGAGATGAGTTCCTCAATATGTATGTTGCCGTCTGCAGATGATAAAATTCATGTCAAATTACCTATCGACAGCCTGAATATTTTGAATAGAACCAAGGAATAGAGTCTCTCGAGAAATCTCATGGGAATGATCTGCACGGCTCAACGTCTTATTGTGAGTGATCGCATCGAGATGGAAGGGAACTTGCGCTACGAGTATGAATTAAGAGGTCCTTTTGTGCGGGAAAAGGTAGCGCGCTTTATTGCGTGCATACATAAAAGTAATGAAACACATGATGACATTTTTTCGTTAGATATTAAATATGAGATGATATTAAAAGTTCGTGCCAAGAAAATTCCTAGAGTCCATTCAATGGATGTCCAGGAGGCGTTGCACGAGGGTATCTGCTGCCTCATCCGTGCGGATACCCAGAGATTCGTCACGTGCATGGGACGCAGTGGGTCGGATTGTATCAATCGATCAAATAAATACAAAGAAACGACTGTGAAAATCGTGAGAGACCTGAATGCAAATGTCATGAGGCTTTGCGTACTACTCATGGAGATCTCCGTTTTTGAGCCCTTTTGCCTAGCCAATGTCTGAAAAAGTTATAGTTTTATAGGCATAGAGCTTTAGGCTAAGGTAAATGAGGCTTAGGCAGCAGCGGCTGATCGACGGGGTAAAATGTCCGTTACGCAATGTGTTAATACTAGGGGGATTTAAGTGAAAAGGGGGTAATGGCTGATACACATAGTCTAAGAGTAGCCTAGGGTAGGGGACTAAAACTCCCTATTTCATTTGAACACCCATAGTAGTTGAGGTGATCACGGGTGTGCCTCTCGGCTGCGTTCACGAGCTGCTCCTGCACACTGCATTAATTAGGTCAGTTTCCTTTCTGCTTTCCTCCATTCACTCCACTTTGCTTCAATCGTTTTCCTTTCGCCTTTAAAGCCATGCCAGGACGACGTCCACAAGGAAGTTTCATCAACTTGATCACTTCGATCGAGGTCGGTTGGTTCGTATGATGGAGGCAGGCCTTAGCATGCATCAGGTTGCGCATCGGCTAAGTGTATGTGTGACTACCATGCGGCGTTGGTGGACTTGGTATCAAAATGGGGCCATTCATGAACGGCAAAACGAGGATCAGGCCAGCCTCGCATCATGACGCTCAGGGATGACCTATATTCGACGATGCAGATTCTACGAGACCGATTCGCTCCTACCCGTGTTCACGGAAGGTACCTGCGGCTTAGGACGGGAAGTCAGACAGGTGGTCCAGACCGCACTGCCAGCTAGATTGCGTGCCGGTGCACTATCCTCAAAGAAGTCCTTTGGACCATCCCTAGCCACCATGTCAACTAACCGACCTCGATGGAGATGGTGAACTTGACGAAATTGCCTTTGTGAACGTCATCCTTGCATGGCTTTAAAGACGAAAGAAAAACGACTGAAGCAAAGCGAAGTGAATGGAAGAAAGCAGAAAAAGAAACTGGCCTGATTAGTCCAGTCGCCCTATTATCCATCCTTTGGGGCGTTCGGATAGCTTGGCAAGTTTTCCCTGCATCGCTTCATCCTATGACCTTGAAACTTCGCTTTATTGTACTAGAAATCAGTAGAAGTTCCTTCTTCGCATTTGATTAATAAACTCCTAGATATTCGTTCTTGGCGATAAGTATGATCTCTCCGACCCCATTTGAATTTGGATGTTAGGCAAGTTTTTCTGCGAATATTTAACATATCACCTTGAAACCAGCATCAATTTCATGTCACACTAATACGAGTATGTTTACCAATTTCATCAAGATCGCTCAACTCCTTGGTGTGACTTTTTTGGCAATGAGTATATAAGCAATGCAAATAAATTTTTTGGTCTGCTGTGTGTGTGCATCTACGACTGCGGTGAAACGACGATTCCATATAGTGTCACGAGAATTCACCAGGCTGTTGGATCCTCCTTCCTGTACAGCAATTTTCCAAATTAAAAAACTTACAAGACTGTCAGGTAGGGTGAAATGACAGATTTAGAATTTTTTCTTCGAATGAGATCCACCGTGCAGGAATAGAATTCACATAGTATATGCCTTGCATTTGAAGCACCAATATCTGTCTAAAACTATCTCTAATGACTTTGGAGTCACTAGTCCCTGTAGGGATGACTCTCTCAGGAAAGAGGAGGATACCTGAGACTATTCACCTTGAGATATCCCAAGTAGCATAAAGCACTGAAACAACATTGAATCAGTATTGAGTCAATGTTATTTGCTTCTATGGTTATGACCGAGTGGCAGTGGTTATGTGAACGTGGAATAGGTTCAACACATTTGCTTGGCAAAATATGAAAGTGCTAGCCACTTGCATTACGCAGTCATTATATAAAAACGGTAATACTTTATTGAATGCTGAAAACCTATACGTAGGTCATGTGGAAAATCCTGAGCCAAAGGCTTAACTTAAAGTTGCAAAACGGGAGAAAACGAAGTCCGGTGACGCAATCCACGTTTTGAAGGACTTACCGACTGGACTCCTGCATTTTGTTTAGGACTGATATGCTTTTCTCGGGAAACCCTTGGGGGGTCGATTTCTGATTCGCCTGTGATTTGCAGATCGTGACTGCAGCGCCCTGGAGGTTCCGCCTTCCTACATTCGCCTGAGCCGGCGCACGATGCTGGCCGTGGTGCCGTTCGGGTGCTTTCGTTTTTAGGTCGTTCAGACCCTTCTTAGTTTTTGGTGCTGCACTTTCTCCTTCCCACTTCAAGTTTGGCAAAATGGAGGGAACGAAGTCATGTAGGGTAAACACCCTATAATTGGCCACTAAGCCCCAGTTTCAGGCCACTTAAGCCACAGATATTGGCCATGCTGATACGACTCCCATAGGAAGTGGACATTCTGTTCGCACACCGGAAAATACTAGTTATTGGTCTTGGCACGGAATGGTTATGATGGAATGCTTAAAAACGGCCAGATTGACAAATGCTGGATTTAAGCCGCATTGGCCAACAACTTGGGACCGGCCAGAAACCGGGGTGCTTACCCTATACCTTTAGGACCGGAGTCGTTGTCGTCAGATCTCCAGGCGTTTGCCTAGCCACATAGGAACACTTTTTTCTAGGATGCAAACGGGGCCATTCCATTGCATAGAAACCTCTTCTCGAACTATTAGGTCAGGCTAAAATTGCATTCGCCATTTCTCATTCGATATTATGCGAGGCAAAAGTGCTTGCAGGCTTAAGCCTTAATACGCAAAGAAGGATGCCATTTGCGCACATCTGAAAAATATACTTCATTTTCAGTCAGAAGGGGACAATAATTAAAGCACATGAGATTACTTTCGGAAACTATATGATGAAAAACAAGCTATATTGTGGAACGTGTAGACAATTACCCAGGGATAATGCAGATGTACAGCATAGTCTCATGGTTTTAATGCAATATATGTATTTTTAAGCTTGTTTTACGAAAATGTCAAAGTGAAACCTGTCAATATGTCATTGGCCTATGTTTTGGGCTTGCTAAGGAAATTTATAGTAATTCCTGCACTTCAGGTGTTTTTTGTGTCCCAAACTGAAGGAGTTTTCTTTCAATCACAAGCAGTGAGCGATAAAACTTGAATTCAATTTTTTACATGAGTACCTTTTGATTATGTTGAATTAATTTTTCCTGAAAATTTTCTCTGAGCGATTGTCACATTGAACCCCTTCAAAAACGTACTTTGTACGCATACCCCAGCGAACTGTCTATCGAGAATGTTACATGAGAAAGGTTTGACCGATTTCATTTCCGAAATGGCCGAAAATGAGCTTTTCTTAAAATGAGGAATCCAAGCAACGCAAGGCATTTTCAAAGGCTCTCTACCGAATCATTATCGACTTCCTGGTCCGATTCGAGGCTTCTCAGGCACGCATCAATTCAGTATCTTGATTTCGCAGAAGTATCCGTTGAAGGCGGCGGCGCAAGCATTGACATACCAACATCCAAAGCATTGCTGATATCCATCATTTTCCCAGCCCATCAGAAGGCATCCGCCAGACGCGGGATAAACTGCGTGGAAGTGCGCTTAGCCCGGTCCAGTGACCGTGAGGCTGGTACCTGTGCATCAGAAGAAGACTATTTCAATGGGAAGGTCACCGCTCGTGATCAAATCGCTAAAAATAACGAATCGGACAGAATTAAAACGTGAACCATCGCAAGGCATTTGACTTCGCAGTGGCTTTGATGTGAAGTGCAGGGAAAACTCTCATTTCAAAGAGTTTTCATGCCCCCAGCACAATGTTTCTAGCGACATTTCAGAGATAAAGAATAATCTCTTCTTCCTTTATGTTCCTAATGTCAGGTTGACTATGGCTTCCCGCAACCATAGGTAACTTGAAGTGACAATGAAAAGTACTTATGAACCAACACCGAAGAGTTTTAGCACATTGGTTGGAGTGAGAATCGAAAACGGATGCCAAAATTGCAACATACATTTTCTTACCCGAGGGCTAAAAAGAACTCATACAAAACATTCCCAATGCATTTTTTTCATGTAACCAACCATGAAACCAGTGCAAAGGGGAACCCCACCGTCAAGAAAATTCCAGATGTAATAGTTAGTTCCGCTCTGACCACCAAGCCAGAAGTAGTTGCGCGGGTTCGTCACCTGTCCCTTGGCGAGCATGGTCTCATTCAGGAACCTGTACATGGTCTCGCTGCTCGGAACGGCAAGTCGGCCTCCATCTCTCTGGCATTCCGTCTCCGACTGGATCCACGTGATTTGCTGGTTCGATACCATCTTCACGAAGCTGTTCGTACCTAACACCGGCATGTATCCTTTCGAGGGAATCAAATACTGAAGAATGATTGACACCTGAAATAGCTTTTACATAGGAATGATCCATGAATTTTCCTGCATAGAATTTCCATGATCTATGCGGCTATATAATCGAGTCAACTTTGGTGAGTCACGGTTGAGTCGATGTATTAATAGGATCAATCCTATGTGCGGCTTGGGAAGATAGCTTGGATGTGGTCAGAATGGTTTTCACTCGTGAAGGCTATACGTAGTGCTAAATTTCTTTCTCGGACTTGTTATACATAATTGATATGTATTCAATGTTTATATTGATGGATAATGTTTTTTCATGAAAAATATCAAGTATCATTTTCGGGAAGGATATGTAGATGTGATACGAGACACTCCACAGGAATACTTGCTTCTACGGCCTTAACACTGAATGAAAACTAAGTGATTAAAGACGGTGAAGCAGTCATCGAACTAATTTGATTGCCATCCATGATTCTCATTGTGATTCACCTGAGGGGAGCTCTTTGTTGTAAAGCTGGCTGTCGGGATCGGCCGTTCTCGGTGGGTCGTACGTGTCGTGTAGGCGACATGTGACGAATCCTGCTGTTGACGTGGTCACGGAAAAGGAGAAGCAGTTCGTCTGGCTGCATGTAAGGAAAGCAAAATCGTGACTACAGCACATGGTATATATCAATACAGAGAGGATTCCGATTTATTTGGACATTTTGGTTGCGCCAATATTGGGAAATTATTTTCTGTTACCTTTGGGATCCCGTTCCTGACAAAATATCCCAACAAAAATTCTGCCCCCACAAATCAATGGCCAAATGGAGCGGAATCCATTGCATATTGCATTACATGTGCTTACTACTTTCACGTGGGCGTTTCGTTTGTCAAGGTATACGCTCGCTTCATGGGAAATGCCGATCTTGAAGAAGCTTTTTGTTGCAAGGGTCTAAAACTAGGGAAACTAATTCAAGCATCCTGTTCTAGGGGATTCGAAGCGGAACTAGGTGAAGAGGTGCGTAGTATTGCTATTTGGAACAGTACTGTTTAAAAAGGCAATGTAAATGGAATGGCTTCGCTGAATGTAATGGAAAATAATGCAAGTATATTCTAATTTCTTTTGGCGAGAGGAAAACGGAAATCTCAATATTTTAAGCTAATTGATGTGAAATTTATAGTGAAGATTATGGCACGGCAGCGAGTTTTAAAGTAGTCACAAAATGCCTGAGAATGGAAGCATCAAATGGTCAATTTCCAGGGAATTTTAAAAATTAAAGTCAGGCTCTAAGACACTCACCTCAAGCAGGCAATGGCGCATTGCACGTTTGAATCAGTCACAAACTCTTGTATCGGCGAGGAGATCATCATGTTCTTGTTCATTCCTGTGGAGAATTTAACTTGCGAAACGTCCCCATCCACCTTACAGACGAAACAAACGAGAAGCCAGGGCAGCAGATGCATCTTTCTCCGCTTCCGCTTCTTCAGTGGATGTGGCAGCGGCGCACACTTTGCATATGCACCGGGAGGAATTGACGTCACTCTCGCAGTTTGATAGGCGATCTGGTTCCCAAGGGATGGTAGGGGAAGGCAGGGAAATTGATTTTGCCTACTAGGTACAGGCTACTTATCTGATTAACAATAAATATTGTTAGATTCCAAATGCATTTATATTTTATGAACTCAAAGTATTGCTAGTCATCCAAAAATGACGGTAATGTCAAATCGTTCAGTGACTTTTGGGACACCTTTCATTTCTCATGTTGAGTATCTGACTGAGTGATTGAGTGACTAAAGCACGATTCTTACAATATTAAATGGTTTTAAGATGCTCAAAACAGATAAATAAATAGCTATTGTTCTTTTTGGTTCGGTGGGGTTCCATAAAAATCCGACTTTTAGAGTACATTTCTATGGGCACAATTGGGAGTAGCTCGTTTCTTCCCAAGCATTTTTGTTATTTTTTTAATTTAGGAAAATATGGAACATTGAAAGTTAGTACGTCTGTACTTATTTTGGACCTTATTCCAGAAAATATATTATTTTTAAGATTCATCACTGAAGGATTCTTTTTTGCGGGGGAGTCTTTTCCGATTTATTTTTTCTCTTGCGAAACGGATTGATTTTGAGAGATAAATTTTTGAAGGAACAAAGGGAGCTGAAGGCGACTGCAAGGTGTGCTACTTTCCTTACCTTCTTTGTATGGACGGCGGTTCACTGATGTATTCAATTCATTCCATGGAGAATATGAAAACTGGTGAGGGTGCTGAATATCACGTCACCTCTATCGTGGTCGTCTTTTTGTCCTACATATGAGTATCGACGGAATCGATGGATCAGTAAGTCATTTGGCTTGTTGCAACGAGGAAGGTCAAGATTCTCCTGAACCGACAGGAACCCGCCTGGGGCCCTGAGTGAAAAAAGTAACTTCAGTTGCGCTTATTAAGCATCTGATGATTTTTTTCTCAATTAAGACGATAGGATTCTGAGAAGTCGATAATTTCGTGGAACCGTAACATTCGCTTTCACAGCTGGACCTTCTGTGCATGAAGTCCTATGCACAAGAATCGCACTATCTATCGCGAGAATATAATTATTTAAAGATGACTGAAACCCCCAGGAGAAGTCTCTTCTGTGAATGACGCGAACATGAATATTTGACGGAGCACTCAAAGAGAGGCATAGTCGTTAATTTTGGTTATCTCGATGTTCGAGGTCGTCCTCTGTCTTTACCGCAAAGAGCTCCCGACCGGCGAAAATAAATGGACCCTTCTCACGCGATTCCGAACAAAGGTACGGCAGAAACTGGATTCAATGCCCCACCCGTCGGTTATTTGTCGGTTCTTTGTGCGTTTTACGAGAGGGAGGACTCAAAAGGGAAACCATTCCCTTCTCTCTCCGAGTGAATATATTTACAGCAAGGCAATCGCATAAACTGATTATTGGTAGCAACGATGTGTTGTGGCAACCCATGTCGCCTTTAAGCGTGTAGCAACATTCATCAAGAGACTAGGAAGTTGAGTACTGGTCTGGTACTCGTCCTCAACAGACTTCACTAAGACGAATTTTTTTCATTGCGTGTTGCGAAATTTCGGAAATGTTATCGAAGAGTGTGCACTCTCGACAAAGAAAATAACTAACATGGTAGACGATAAAATTGGGAACCCGTAGATGTGGTATGTCTCAGAGTAGCATCCTGAAAATGGATCCATGAATAATTTCTTCTTCCCATCACTGGATGACCTTCATCGATTAATGCCTGTAGGAATCTTTACTGAAAAGATTGGTTTCACCCGCTCAGGTATCACCTGAACAGATAGAAATTGACATAAAGCAAACCCTTCGCTAAACGGCTTGGAAAATTATCAGGTCGGTAACTAGTCTTTCAAATGAGCATACTTATAACAGCACAGATTCCTTGCCAAAAAATTATGTCAGTATTCTTCGTAATTCTTTTTGCATGTTCATCTCGCACGACCACAAACCACAACCAAATCTGTGTTGCGGATGCATATTTATTCATGTCCTATTTTTTCCCACATGTTATACCATCCTTTCTATATAATGCGTCGGTGAATACAGATTCCCATTAATGCTTCGAGGACTTCCTGTAAGAAGCTGGAGTAAATTAGAATTTACATTTCTAGGAACCGATATTTTCGTGGTATTATCCCACTCCATTCCCTCCATGTTAAAAGCATTTTCCGTTTTCCCATGAGAACCCCTTTCTTCTCCTGGCACACATAGTCACAGAGAGGACATGGACTACAGTAGCATGCCACACATTGTCGAGTCACACTCATCCTAATAATTTCTGTTAAAATAGGACATGCATAAAATAAGTCCCGGAACATATATTTCGTTGTGGTTTGTAGTGGTCGTGCGAGATGCACACGGAAAAAGAATCACGAAGAATACTGGCATCATTTTTGGCAAGGAATCTGCGCTGTTATTAGTATGCTCATTTGAAGGACTAGTTACCAACCTGAAAATTTGCCAAGCTCTTCAGCGAAGGGTTTGCTTAATGTCAATTTCTATCAGAGAGCGGGTGAAACCAATCTTTTCAGTAAGGATTCCTACAGACAGTAATCGATGAAGGTCATCCAGTGATGGGAAGAAGGAATTCTTCAAGGATCCATTTTCAGGATGATACTCTGAGATATACCACATCTACGGGTTCCCAATTTTATCGCATTGCAGGTGAATTTTTCTCATAGTCGAGAGTGCACAGTTTTCGATAACATTTCCGAAATTACGCCATCACAGAATGAAAAAATTTCGTCCTAGTGAAGTCTGTTGAGGACGAGTACCTGACCAGCAATCAACTTCCTAGTCTCTTGACGAATAATGCTATAGACGTATAGGCGACATGGGCTGCCACAACACATCATTGCTACCAATAATCAGTTCCTGTGGTTATCATCCTGTAAATATATTCACATGGAAAGAGAAAGGACTGCTTTCCCCTTGAGTTCTCCCTCTTGTGAAACGCACAAAGAACCGATGGGTGGGGCATTGAAGTCAACTACTGCCGAGCTATCGTTGGGAATCGCGTGAGAAGGGTCCATTTCCTTTCGTCGGTCGGCAGTTCTTGGCGGCAAAGACAGAGGACGACCTTTAACGAGGTCAACAAAGAATTAACCAAAATAAATGATAATGCCTCCCTTTGAGCGTTCCATTGGCAACCGCCCTCCGACCTCCACAGCACCGTAAACACGAATTATGGGGGAGAATCCAATGTATTATATTACGAATAGTCTCTTTAAATCCATCGTTAAATCCATCATTAAATGCATCGCGCCATGAAACAGATTTACAAGAGAAGCAAATATGTCTGACTCACTTCTTCTGCAACAAAAGTAAATGGAAATTGCTAAAAAAAAAAGTACAGTTTTTAGTTCTCCCATCTATACTGTACATGGCACATCAGGCATTAATCACATGTAATTCGCTGTGGACATCACGGATGGGCAAGAAAAGCAATATGGACGAGTGAAATAATTTCATTCATCATTGTCCTCGATCATTGCCCTAGCTCCTGTAGTTATACATATTTCATTGCACCCCTGGTATGAAGTGAGGGCTGATAGTAATCATTGCCGTGCCCTTTCTCCGACGTTTTATCTTTTTCTCCTTGACGACGAGCGGCATTGGCGTCCTTAGAGATTCGTCTCTCATGGCCCTGCATTTCAGATTATTGCCTTTAGCATCATTCTCATTCCTGAAATGATCCTGAAACAATACATTTTCACGACCATGTTTTGACGACAATATCCGTAGGAGAATCTGCTTTCCGAATAATGTGTTTGTGCGCGCGTGACGACTCCATAGGCCAAACGGTTTGAGATATGATCTCCAATCACATGCATTTTTGTTTTCACAAATATATATTCCTAATCGTCCGAAGATGAGCCTTGATGAAGAGAAATTGTAAGATCCGCCATCATATTCACTCCTTTGACAATGTGATTCCTTTGACAGAGTTCTTAGTGCTTTCAGTGAGATGGACGTGAAGGTATTCTAATTCAAAGGAGGAATTACAGACAGGAATTTTTTCTAAAATGTGTAATAAGCGTATCGAGACAGTGCCGTGTGTTGCTTGCAAGCGTCTGGGTCTACTTGCATTGCTGGCCGTTGATGCTTCTGGGCCATTCCATGGCAACTGACCGAGGGATGACGCTCGACCATCTCAGAAAAAAATTAAAATGTCCAGAGTTAAACGGTCTTACATGAAACTCCAAAATAAAAAATTTTTCATTTCAATCCCCGTTGGTACACAATATATGAATGTCAAAAATATTAGTTTTCAGGCACGTTTGACCCCTCGGGCGAGTTTCATTACTCTCAAACTATGCCAGCTAGAAATGCCCTGAATAGTTCCTCTTCACCTGATGAAACGGATGATTAGGAGCTCGTGTGATAAGATACGATGTAAAGACGCGTAAAACTCCAATCCTCCCCCTGCAGAAGCTACAAGCGGTTCTTTTTTTTTCCGGCAGGATTCCTGATGATATGAATACCAAGACATTGAGCAATGAGCATGCGGTGATCATAAAAGAATGGTGGAAGTCCGAAGGTCCCAACATTTTAACCAAAAACAAGGAAATTGCAAATTCCGCATGGGGGTTTGGACTCTCCAAGACTTCTAGTATTTGAAAAAGACGCCTTCCTACTTTTTTGGTGATTCTGCCTGTTTCTTCCGCTGCCTGACAAGAATCGCAGTATGCTTACTTTTATTGAAGAATTCGTTCCTCGATTTTGGTTGCTGTCTGCAGATTATTTAATTTCTGGTAAATTACATCTCCATATCCTGAAAATTTTGAATACGACCAAGGAAGAGAGTCTCACGAAAAATCACATATGAATGACCTGCACGGTCTAACGTCTTATTGTGAGTAATCACATAGAGATGAAAGGGAACGTGCGGTACGAGTGTGAATTAAGAGGTACTATTGTGTGGGAAAAGGTTACATCGTTTTTTGCGTGTATGCATAAATAGTAACGTACCAATTCACAGGATTTTACTATAATTTTTTGTCGCAACAGAGATATTCACGTACACTGTTCCAAAAAATTTAGAAACTTTTTCCTTTTTTTTTGCTTTTCCAAATAGGTTCAGACTATCACTGTGCACTTTTGACGGCTCAGGGTGTATCAAAATCCATTGATTCATCTCGGAGATGCAACAGCTTATTCCAATAATAAGCTGCTGGCCGCATTTGGCACGATCACAGGCAGCCGGAGAGGGAACTCAC